ATGCGGCTCTTGATCTTGGGGTCATGAGTTCGAGCCCCATGTTGGGTGCGGAGCCTACTTTAAATAAATAAATAAATAATTTTTAAAAAATGAAAATGAATGAACTGGGATGTGTCTGTGGAATATGCTCTGCTCTTCTGAGAAGAGAGAACGTGTGTGTGAGTGTATGAGCACGTGTGTGGGCATTTGTTTGTGTAAGTGAAGGCACAGAAGAAGGTCTGAAAGGATTCACACCAAAGTAATAGCAGTGGTTACCTCTAAGGAGGGTGTAGGATTTAGAGGGGACAGGTTTAAAACAGACTTGCATTCTTCTCCCTGTAGTCTCTTTATTGTTGGGATTTTTCCAGGGGACTCTCCATGACCAGATGTCTGGATTGAGGGAGGCGGAGGCCATCAAAGTGTACTAAAGTGAAATTAGATATCACTCTATGGCCTAGCACCCTTCATAGCTCCCCACTGCCCGTAAGTGGAAGCTTGACCTCTTGAGTCTGGCTAATGGAGCCCCTTTCCCCCTGGAACCCCGCAGTCCAACTGCTGTGGCTCTTGGAATGGGCTAGATGTTAAGAGCTGGCCTTTCTCCTTTGTGTTTCTTTTGTGTGTGTGTTCAGTGGATGCGGAAATGGCCCCAATTTCTCACCCCTGCCCGTATCCATGTGCATTTGCATGTAACTCTGCAGCTCCTCTCACACTCCTTAAATCTGAGCCTTGTGACTTGCTTTGACCAACAGAATATGGTGGAAGTGATAGCTTGCCAGTCCCAACCCCATGAGAACAAGCCCTGGCTAGCCTGCTGGATGCTCAGAGGCCCGTGGCTTAGTCACCCCCGTCACCCAGCCCACAGCTGGCCCACCAGCCAAACCTCCAGCTGACCACAGATGCTTTAATGAGCCCAGCAGAAATTAACCAAGCTGAGTCCAGATCAGCAGAAGCACGTGGCTGACCCACAGAGTCACAAGCAACAATACCTGGTGTGTTGTTTTAAGCCATGAGATTTGGGGGTTGTTTGTCATGCAGCATAAGCTAACTGATACAGTCTGCCTAGAAGGCCTTTCTTCACCCCCACCTACCTTCTCTGGATTGTTTCCCATTCATCCTTTTGGCCTCAGTGTAGCTCAGAAAAGCCCTCCCTGATCCCTGAGGAGGTTAGAATCCCCTCCTCTGGTTCCAACAGCCCCTGGGACCTCCAGCACCCCGAGGTACAACTCTCCCATGCTAGCCCCTGAGCTCTGGAGGGCACGGGGGCGTTGGGCAGGGCCGTGTCTGTCTTGTTCCTGGTGGTATCTCAGGCGCCTAGCACAGCACCTGGCACACAGTAGGCACTCAGCACCCACTGCTGTGGAACCCCCGTGCCAGAGCCCAGCCTGGCTGAGTGGAGGGAGGACTGAGGACCATGGGCAGGAACCACGTTAGAGCGGGAGGAGAGATGAGGCAAAGAGGCACATGGTGCTGGCACAAACGGGCAGCAATTTTGATCACATTGTGGGGAATTTCCAAGAATTGAGAAATAGAGAAAGACTCAGAGATACAAACATTCCCACAAGCTTCAGATGAAACCCTGCTCCCGGGCTGTGCCAGGATAGAGTTTTGCATTTGGAGGGAAGAAGTTCTAAAATGCGCTGCAGATCTAAAAATTCTTCTAGAGGATTGCCTTTTTACAGGAAAATGATAACTGTGAGGCTCAGACTGCTTGAGAGAGGAAGGGCTGCTCTGTGTACTTATGTGACTCCTACTGAGGCCGGTATGGGATTTAAGTCCTGCTGACAACTGTTTTACCATCTTCGAACACTGAGTGGGGGCCTCCTACATGTGAACTCTCTCATAGTTCTTTTTTCTTTCTTTAAAAAAGATTTTATTTATTTATTTGACAGAGAGAGACACAGCGAGAGAGGGAACACAAGCAGGGGGAGTGGGAGAGGGAGAAACAGGCTTCCCGCTGAGCAGGGAGCCCGACGCGGGGCTCGATCCCAGGACCCCGGGACCATGACCTGAGCCGAAGGCAGATGCTTAATGACTGAGCCACCCAGGCGCCCCTCTTTCATAGTTCTGAAGATTACAGTTCTAGATATTTAGAAGCAACAATAGAGTGTTTGTTTTGTGTAACTCTAGTCCCTGTAGCATCAGGGCATTTGTGACTTTAGTCAATAAATGCATAGAGGGCAGGGTAGAAATAGCAATAGCTATCATGTTCTATGTCCGTGTACATTTTTATATTCACTGTTTTATTTATACATGAAGAAGTTAAAGTTCAGAGAGGACCTGCACTAGATCTTCCTGAGTCCAGACCCTGGGCTGGAACCTGGAAGCCCTCTGCGTTAGTGAAGAAACCAGCTATATCTCTAAAATAACAGTAGTTTAAACAAAAAACCATGAAATCATTCTCTCATGAGACTCTTCAAGAGTAAGTTGTGCAGGGCTGGAAGGTAGCATGGGAGCCCCAGCCAGGCTCCTTCTGCTGTTCTCTGACCACAGATTCCCCATCATGATACAAGAAAGCTCTGGTTGCAGCTCTGGTCATCATGACCACATTCCAGCCATCAGACAGGAAACAAGAGAAGGGGAGGATGCCTCCATTCTCTGAAATGTGCAACCCAGAACTGCACATACCACTTCCAGTAATACTCCATTGGCCAGACCTTAATGTCATGCACCACAGGTGCAAGGGAAGCTGGGAGATGCTGTCCTGTGCAGCTAGGGTGGCTAGGTGCCCAGCTAGAACTTGGAGTGATATTACTAAAAGAAAGAAAGGGAATGAGTATCGGGGGCAGTTAGCACTTGCTTCCACCTTTCCTGAGTCCCTTCCATTATTTTAATCTCTTGACCACCACTCCAGCGGCTCAATCTCCCACCACACCAGGGGCTGCTCCTTTGAACTTGGTTCACATCTCTGGGAAGGAAATCGCATTTATCGAGTGTCTACCGTGCACTGCAGTTTTTATAACAATAATCTCATTAGTCTCTATAGATAATTCTACCAACTGAGATGAGTCTCCTCTTTAAAGCTGAGGAGCCTGAGACCTAGTGAGGTTCGGGGACATTGTCTGAGGTCGCATGGCTGGGAAGGGCACCCACTGTCACTCTGGGGGCACTCTGGGGTGTCAGGAGTGCATGTCCCTACTGGGGGGCATGGGGTAGGCTGCCATCAGGCTTTGCCGACTTGGTGGTGGTGCGGGGGTGGGAGGGTTGATTCACGCTCTGTCCTTCCAGAGGCAAGATCGGGGGTGAGAGAGCTCTGTGTCCTTGAGGATGGCCAGGTCACAGCCCAGAGACTAGCTCCCTCCAATCCATCTCTGAGTCCCCAGAACATCCTGGCCCAGGGTCAGCTTCCTTAGACCAGGTTGAGTGGATATATGATCATAAAAAACACGGGTTCCATAAACCTGTTTGCTACCTGGAGCCTGGAAGTGAGGTGGGTAACACCCTCAACCCAACCCAAGTCAGCAGCTGTTTGCCTTTATATACGGCAAGTGCCCCTAAGTGGCTGTCAAATCAATGATAAATTAAAGAGGGAAAAGAGGAGTTCCTCTCTACCAGGAAAAAACAGAGACTTTTCTGGTTTGAGAGTCAATTTTTTTCTCTGGATGTGGGGCTGAAACAAGCATACCACTCCTCATAATAAGTGGACAGAGGTGGGGCAGTGAGGAAACAGGGCTGCCTGCAAGGCAGGGCAGCTGAAATGCCACTGTCCTTCCCACTGCCCAGCACATTTGAAATGGAGTGTGAGACCCGCGGGACCAGCCATGGAAATCTTCCCTCTCGTGTCCACGGTGTGGGAGAGAGGCCTGCTGCAGCCGGACATCACCCACTTCAACGGAGGCCAACCCCTCTGGGCCACTGTTAGTTCTGCCCACCCTGTCTCTGGCCCTCCTCCTCCTGCTAATGATACCCCCCAAGTACCCTTTGGGCTCCTTCCCGTCCCCACCCTCACTCAGATCATTTGGTTTATGTAGGGCTGCTGGGGGTGATCAGGTGACTCAGGCCTGGCCAATCAGTGGATGAATCCCCATTCTAGTCTGGTGGTGGCCTTAGGGATGATCAGGTGACCGAAGCCAGGCCAATCAAAGGATGAATCCCCATTCTAGCCTGGTTTTGGGTTTAGGGGTGATCAGGTGACCCTGGCCTGGCCAATGAGATCCCTACCCAGGACCTTTGCTGGAACTGTCAGGAAAAAGCAGCTCACTTTCTGCAGGGCTTGCTGAGCCTGGGACTGCTGGTAGGCGTTTGTGCCCCTCTTGGGAACAGTGAGCGTGTGCATGGAGCCAACACAGAGAAAAGTGTAGCCAGAAAGGGAGATACAGAAGTCAGATGACATCTGAGGAGCGGCATCCAGCTGTGCCGGAAGCCCTGGGCTTTTTGTTTATGCGAGCCAATAATTTCTTCCTCTGGCTTCAGCCCTATTGAGTTAGATTCCCTGCGACTTGCAGCTGAAGAAATCCTGTCTGACATCACTTAGGGAGGCAGAGTAAAGAGAGGCCACAGTAGAGATCCCAGCTATTACCTGCTCCAGCCCCACCACGGCACTGAGGACCTTCCATCTCAGGCTCCAGCCACCCTTTCCCACCTTGGAGGTTGAGGGTAACTCTTGGGACTATATCCGTCCTTGTTCCCCTTGTAGTTGATGTTCTTGGTAAGGCCAGCTCTGAACTGAGGCCCAGTAATGTCAAAAGTCTCCCACCAGCTGCAGTGTGCCAGGAAGTAGGCTGGCCACAGGAAGTTTTCAGTCCTCTTAAGCTCAGTTTAAGATTCCCTTTTGCAGATAAGGAGATGCAGAGAGATGACAAAACTTGCTTGCAGCTTCACAGGCCATGTGGGTCTCTGTGACCCCAAAGTTGGGGCTTTTCTCATTCCTAGGCCTGCCTCTACCCCGCACCCTGAGGGGGCTCTGCTGGTTGCCCAAACCCGGCATCCTGGGGGTCAGGGATCAGATGGAAGCTGCCTAATTTCAATCCACTCTGCAGATAAAGAGCTTGAGAGCAACAAAAACCACCACCATTAACACTGAGTATAGGAGCTGAGCTTTTAATGCCCCGAATTGCCTAGTGTGCAGGCAGGGCTGGGGACAGCCAGAGCTCCCAGCTTTGGTTATGTGGAGGAGGGGCAGCTGTGGGGGCAGCTCAATTCCGATGCCCAGAATTCCCGCCAGCTTTGCCGCAAAGACTCTCCAGAATGGAGAATGGACTGGAGCTACTGAAGATAGGCTCACCAAGCAAGGGAGCTGGAATCCGGGACCTGTGAACATCCGCAGGGAAGGTGGGCCCATCTGAATTTCCAACTTTTTGTTTCTAAGCTCTTTGAGACAAGGGTGACTCAGCTCTTCATTAAATGTGGGCAGGTGAATATGGCTTCTAGAAGCTCCAAGCTGCCCCTGAGGTGCTGTGGCCTAGTTGCTGGGCAAGAGAGTGGGTGGTTTGCAGAAGCTGAAAGAAAGTCCCATCTCTCCCTAGGCTGTACTGGGAAGAGGAAGCACCAGGCTTGGGGCTCCATGCCAGAGGTGAGACCCCCGACCTTGGCCCCAGACTCCACAGTCCCCTGACGCTTTTTCAGTCCTGATGACTGCATTCTGCGTTCCCTTGACTGTCCCTCCCTGCAGCCCAGCCGTCAGCCCTGGTCTGGCCTTGACGCCTGGCTAATTTTAAAAAACCTGCTGAGGTGGATGCTTAGGACTTTGCCCAATCTCAAAATGGTCACTATCAAGAGGAGATGATCATATTAATTAATTAATTATATTAATTTATATTATTAATAATGCTAACTACAATCTGTACAGCTCTTTACCCCATTTACAAAGTGCTTACATTCTCTCTCACACACACAGGCACACGCACACACACACACACACACACACACACAAAATCCTATTTGATCTTCACAGCAGCCATGTGTTGGCAGGGCCAGGGATTAGGGATTTGGGATTTCCATTTCACAGGGAAAGAAAGTGAGGCCCAGGGAGGGAAACCACTGCTCAAAGTCATCAGCTGAGGGTGAGCTGCTACTGCTAGGAGGTTTCGAGAGGACAGATATGCTCTCCCAGCTCATTCATTCCTTCACTCATTCCTCCATTCGTTCCTTCCTTCATCCATCTAGCATTTATTAAGCACCTACTGTGTGCCCCACTCTGTGCTAGACACTTATCCCTAAGCTGGGACACTTTTCCAGAGAGCAAGAGTTCTTGTGTTCCTGAGAGATGAGTTGGGGGGAGGAGGGGCAGAGATCCCACTGGCCCCTGGGAACTCAGGACTGTTGATGGGGCATCCTGGCCGGGTGGGGATCCTCATCTTTCTCTCAATAATTCTTTCTTTCTTTTTTTTTTTTTTAATTCAGGGAGCCTGCACAACCTGGTTCCGACAGGCCTGGCTCCGGTGGGGCAGCTGTGGCTGGGGGTAGGTGTGGGGAAGGGGAGACTCCTACAGTAGGCCGTAGAGTCCTTGGCAGGGCTTAGGCTGGTGCCACCTGGCTGCTCTCCGTCTTGGAGGCACTGGCAGAGACCTCATCATCACCCAGTGGGTTCTTGCCACAGCAGAGGGTAGTGATCATGCAGTTCCGGAACTGGAAGGCAAGGGACAAGAGTCAGGGTCAAGGTCCACCGAAAATGTGTGTAGCAAACTGTGGTGGTTGACGAGATTTGCCTCCAACCCTTTCCCTGCTTCTGGCCCTCACAGACTCCACGCCCCTCTCAAATCTGGCTCCCTGGAGGGAACTTAGTAAGCACACATGGTCCCACCCCAGAGATGCCAGGGACCAAACAAACCCAAGGGGGCATTGCTACTCATGACACTCCATGATGCCCTCTGTGTGCCAAGGGCTTTCTGTAAGTTATCTTAGTTAGCCCTAGAGTTTAGGAGTTTGCCCTCTCTAGGAATGAAGACACTGAGGGCCAGAGAGGGGAAGTGACTTGCCTTAGGGTCACACAGCTAGAAAAGAAGAGCTGAGATTTGAAACCGATATGCCTAACTCCAGAGACCACCTTTTCCCCACTGGATCATGAATTCTGCAGAGAAGTCACTGATCGATGTTAAAGAACTGCTTTATCCCTTCATCCCTCAGCATAAGGTTTAGCTCCTTGTTCAGCTTTGTGGAGACTGGCACCATTCCATTCCTAGGCTTGGGACTTAGACTATTTGACTTTTAAAGTGGGCCTCCAGAACCATCTGGACTGGCACTTCTCATGCATCAGAGACACCCGGAGGGCTTGTTAGAAATGCAGGTTCCTGGGCCCACCCCGAGCTTCTGATTCAGCAGGACTCTGCATTTCTCCCAGAGGACTCTGACGTCCTGGGGGATACCAGGCTCCCTGCCTGGTTTTGCAGGTGGAATGACTGAGCCCAGTCCAGGACATGGCTTGTCCTCCGCAGGCAATGCCTGGAGCCTGGGGCCCCTGGACCCTCCTGCCCCACCATCAGGCACCTGCTTGTTCATCATGATATAGATGACGGGGTTGTAGATGGCGGCAGACTTGGCGAAGAACGCCGGGAGGGTCATGAAGGTGGGGCCAAAGTTGGAGCCCTGGTGGGTGAAGATGTAGAATGCGACACTGGCGTAGGGCACCCAACAGATCAGGAAAGCGACGACCATGATGATGACCATGCGTGTGACCTCCTTCTCAGCCTTCTGGGTGGTGGCTGACTCCTGCTGCTGGGCAGCCGCCTGCAAGGACACAGGGCCTGCTATCCAGACTCCCTTGGAACAGGGGCCGGGCTCAACCCAACTGACGCTTTTGTCCCCAGCACCCAGCATGGGACCATACCTCCTTGACTGTGAAGACGAGCTGCCCATAGCAGAAGAATATGACAGTCATGGGGATGGTGAAGTGGACCACGAACATGTAGATGACGAAGGACTCGTTGTTGACCTCTGGCTTGAGCGTGTAGTAGTCAATCCCGCACGAGCACTGCAAGCCCTCTGGGATGTACCTGCACACCAGAGGGGGGTGGGACAGGAGAGGGCATGAAGGAGACCCACGTGTGAGGGGCCACAGCCGGTCAGGGCCCTGGTTCGGCCAACACACCTGCTGTGTGGCTGGTCTTGCTCTGGGCCTTGCTTTCCCTCTCTGTGAAATGGGCATGATAAAATATCTGCTTGGCTGCCTGACCGTGAGGATCAAATCAACTGAGACGAGGGATTCAAATGCCCCTGCTGCAAACAGTGTGGTTTGGTTGTAGGCAGCCATGGTATCATGAGATGGCCTAGTCTCTCACCTAGCAGAGCCCAGACACCGCTGACCTGCACTGTGTTTCCTCACCAGACCCGCTGCTCCCCGTGGCTGGAGGCCGGGCCTCAGACTGTGCAGGGCAGGGGTTGGTGAGAAGGGAAAAGCTCCCACACTCTGTATCTGAGGCAGTCTGTACAAACAGGGTCTTACTAACAGCGTAAGAGTATCTTCTAGGCCAAAGATGGGCACACAGGGTAACTAAGGGATCTTTGCACATTTTCTAGAAAGAAGAAGTCCCAGGGCCATGTGGTCGGGATGTTTCGATGATTTCAGAGGATGGTGACAATGGAGTGGCTGTTGGCTGTGCCTGGGGGGATGGGAGACTGGAGACTCCAGGACTGGAGAAGACAGGGAAAGAGGCTGGAGGGGGCGGGCTCAGACTCAACAAGGAACAAAAAATTGACCCCAGGAGGCTGAGAGAGGAGGGACAGGAAGAGAGATTGGGAATTTCCTGGAAGCAGAAGGACACGAGGCCTCTGGGAACCCACAGGGTCACCAGCCCAGTTTCCCAAACCGCCGTCCTCCCATCTCTCATTTGAGTCCCATTTGGAGATGATGGACTAGAGGCTGTAGAGGACCCAGTTCCCAGGGGCTACCATGTTACCACCTGCACTAGACAGGCTTGGCCTCCTCAGGTGCTGAGGCCCAAGGTCAGAGGGAACTGCCTATGGGGCAAAGAGGATTGGAATCTGGCCCTGGCTTAGTTGAGGATTAGGGGCACAGCCAAGGTGAAGGGTTGGGGTGTCTTGGATTCTCCTTGACATGGGGGCTCAGGAGGTGGGACCAGCCCCCATAGCAACATTAAGGTCTGATTCTCTCTTTCCCTGACCTAAACCTCTCCCTTGGGAGAGCTGCCAGGGTGGGCATTTGGGGTAGGGAGCATATAAGCTCGGTGCCCAGAACCAGATAGCGTCAGGTTTGAGTCCTGGCTGGGGGACCCTACAAAGACCCCCCCAGAGACCATTCTCTTCTGCTCAGTGTCATTACCTGGACCAGCCAGCGAGGGGGGGTGCAGCACAGGCCAGTGCCATGACCCAGGTGAGGGCGACGCCCATGATGGCATGGTTCTCCCCGAAGCGGAAGTTGCTCATGGGCTTACACACCACCACATACCGCTCAATGGCCAGGACCACCAAAGACCACAGGGCAATTTCACCTGCAAGGCAGTCAGGGATCAGTCAACACACCACCCGCCTGGACCCTGCTGTCTGTCCAAGCAGGGAGCACTCCTCCTGGATGGGAGAGGGCAGCCAGGAAGGCAAGCTAGGGCAGGGCTGGAGCCAGGACCGGGGATGGGCTCTGGGGCAGAAGGACCCGTATGCTGAAGGAGAGTGAGCAGGGCATCCCCCAGGAAGAGGAATTAGTTCAGTTAGAGCTCTGGGTTCATGAGGGATGGAAAATCGGATTCCAGGGTCATCGTTAGACTGGGAGCCCCGTAGGGAGTTTTTACAGAACTTGTTCTTTGTGGGGCGACAGGCAGCGTGCCTGTTGGAGTTGGAAGTCTTTCCCTCCCTCTTGTGGCGTGGCCTCTCCCCACTGGGGAATGAAATAACCTGGGCCTCTGGGTCTCCCGCCTTGGAGCCAGGAAACCGGAGAGTGATTTGCCCAGAGGAAGGAGCAGGAAAGAATGGGGGCATTCAGACATCACCCCCAGAAACTCAGTAGGGAGGTTGGCCATAGAATTTATCAACCAAACCAGGACATTTCTGAGAGAGAAAGCGAACACAACTAATTATTACTCCAGAATAATAATTGTAAACTGGCCCCAGCCCTGCAGAGATGTGCCCGCACGTGGCACCCATCTCACCCCTGCCTTCTAGCCTGAGACTTCCCAGCCCACCTCCAGCCTTTCTGTGTGGAGAAACTCTTCCCCTTCGAAGAAACCCCTTCCACAGAAGGCATTAAACTGTGTGGTGATCTGTAGCTTTGACGGGTGCTTTCGAATAGTTTCTTTGACAGGAAAGCCGATGGGGGTGCTGCAGAGATAACAGATCCCGTATAGCAGCTGAGGAAAGTGAGGCCCGGAGAAGGGAAGAGACCTGGGCCTGGGTCGTCCGGCTCAGATCCAGGAATGTTTCCCCTCCTCTGGGACACACAGCCTCTCGGGCAAGCGGGCGGGGCCGAGCACCAGCCACGAGGACTGCTCTGCCTCCTTGGTTTCTCTTTCCTTCACTGGTCCAGGACGCTGTCTCAGCCCCATTCCCACGGAATCTCCAGCCATCGCTGGGTGTTTGTCACCTTCGATGACCACACAACACCCAGCCGCAGGTCACAAGGCAGGGGTGAAACAGGGGTACCACATACAGATGGACCCTTCTCTGCAGGGTCGGAGAGATGCCAGTGGGGAGAGACTGAGCCCATTGCCCAGCACAGGCAGAATCTGGTGGCTGGAGGACTGATCATCTGTGTCCCACCCTGGGCTGAGAGCCCTGAGCACAGGGATCTGTCTTGTCCACCTCTCTCTCCAGTGCCCGGCATGGGTCAGACCCAGCATAGCTACTCCAAGGGAAACAGAGCAAGGCTCGAGGGGCCACAGTGATGTGGGCTGGAAACTCAGCTCTATCCCCACCACAATGTGACCCCAGCAAGGCCCTTGACGTCTCTCGTGCTCAGTTTCCCTGATGTGAAGCAAGATAGTGGCACCACTCTACATGAGATCTATAGCGTCCGATGGCTGCCCTCAATAAACAGCCTAGCGTAGCATCACTAATGGTGTTTGTTGATCAAGTGGACAATGCTGACGAACGTAGAGGGGAGAAGGCCTCTTAGCCACTATCCCTGGATATGGGGCTGTCTCCAGATCCCTCCACTCCCCCTGGCTCCTGTATCCCCCGTCCCACCACCCCTACCCCGGCTCATACCGCCCAGCGTGGCAAAGAAGCCCTCCAGATTGCATCCCGTGGGCCCAAAGATAAAGTATCCGTGCAGCGAGGTGTAGAGGGTGGTGGTGAAGCCCCCGAAGACCATGAAGAGGTCGGCCACGGCCAGGTTGAGCAGGATGTAGTTGAGCGGCGTGCGTAGCTTCTTGTGCTGGACGGTGACGTAGAGCGTGAGGAAGTTGATGGGGAAGCCGAGCACAATCAGCAGGAACATGTAGGCGGCCAGCATGGAGAACTGCCATGGCTCAGCCAGGTAGTACTGTGGGAACTCGAAGGGGCTGCGCACCACCCCTGTCTTGTTGGAGAAGGGCACGTAGAAGTTCGGGCCCTCTGTCCCATTCATGGCTGCGGTCCTGGTGGCTGCCCTGTGGGTGGCTCAGACCAGAGTGCTGTGGAGGCCTGAGCTCAGCCACCCAGGGCTCCAGCTGGACCACTCTGGGCTCTGACCCCCCCCCCAGGCCCTTATAAAGTGACCTCCCCTCCCTAAGCTCCTGGCTGAATCAGCACCTGGGAGATTGGGGGCGTTATTAATCATATTAATCCCCACTGCAACTGGGGGCCTAATTGGCTTCCATGAGGGGCCAAGGTGACTCTAGACAGAAGCCTGGGGCCAGAGAGGGGAGGGGCTGGGGACCCTGGGAAAGGGCAGGAGGCCCGCCCCCAACTCTTCTGGTCCCCAGGAATCTCTGCCCGTATCAATCTGGTGGCCGTGACCTGGCATTGGGACCGCTGGCTCCATGCCATGTCTCCCTCACTTCATGTGAGCTTTGTCTCCCCCCCCCGCTGGACCACGAGCTCCCTGAGGGTAGAGGCTCTGGTTATTCTCTTAGTCTCTCAACCCCTCACTCGGCCCCTTACCTATTTCTTCCCCAGCCCTCACCGGCTGGCTCACCCACAGCCAGGCCCTGACCCCAGCCCATCTCACCAGATTATGACCACCGTGAGGGCGGGGGCCGCGTCCTGCCTGCTCTGGCACTCTCCATGCTGGACACACAACCCGGCATAGCCCAGGAGCTCAGTAGGTATTCGAGTTGGAATTCCCTCACTCTCCCGTTCATTAAACATTTGTGTGCAGACCACTGGGGATAGAAGGATCCAGAAAGGAGGAAGTGATGGGGTAGGGAGGACTCTGATGTGGGAAGAACAGATCCAGGGAGGGGAGACTCCCTTTAAAGGGGAGGTGTCTGTGGAGGGGAAGTTTGGGTCTTTGAGGAAGGGGAGTGTTTCGCTAGGTTGCCGGGTGGGAAAGACAGGGGAGACTGAAGACAAGGGCTGGCAGACGCCTGAGGCCACACCTGGGCTGTGGGGCCAGCTCTGGTGCGTCTCAGTGCCAAGCTGAAGAGCCTGGGCAGCGGGCAGTGGCTTGGGCAGGTCTCAGGGGCAGAAACGTGGCTCAAATGCCCCCACAGATGTATTGGAGGAAGTGAGGCTAGAAAAGGAGACCAGGGAGAGGGTGACTGGAGCAGGAAGGGGGCAGAGGCTCTCAAGGCTCCTAAAGGGAGCCCTGGCATCCGGGAGGTGGCTATGTACCAGGTGCGGTGCTGGGCACCAGACGACTGCCGTGAGCAAGGCCTCCTGGGGACTCCAGTGTGAAGGCAAGGCCAAGCCTGGAAACTGAACTGGTTGGACACTGCGGCACACAGGGCACATCCAGGGACGTCTGGTCAGACTGGGCTGGGTCAGTGGGCCTTGGAAGCCCATGTGACAGGTAGCGCCATGAGGGCGGGTTCTGGGGGCAAATGGAGGTTTGACCTGGACAGGCTCCCCCCATCAGTGAAAGGAGCACAGTGATGCTTCTGAGGAATGTCTGGGGCAGATGGGAGTGCCTGGCACAAGGGTGCTTGATGACCACCGTCCTGCCACAAATATGTATGGAGCACCTACTGTGTTCCACACACGGTGCTTAGTTCTGACAAACACAGTGGCGAAGGATGATGCCCGCGGGAAGTATCATTCTGTGGGGTTGGCAGGGCTTACAAACAAACACGTATTGAAACCACTGGAGTAGGAAAAGTTCAGATTGTGACCCACTCCAACACCCTGTCATTTGGAGCAGCCCGGGAAGGTGAAGTTTGCACTGTGAACTTGGTGATGGAAGGATCCAGTGGGGAAGTGTCCCGGTCTCCAAGACTTCCTTCCCGTGTACTCTCTTTTGTGTAGCCTCTTCCCGCCTGAGATTCCCAGACCTGTTCACTCAGAAAAGTACCCCCTTCCCTCCAGCCCGCCTGGGGCTCCAGACCCCACCTGTCCCAGGTGGTGTTGGGGCTTGCATATGGGGGGCTGATGAAATGTGTGCTGGTGGAATGAATGAGCGCAGGGGAAGGCAATGGCTGGCGGGTGTGGCGTGACCTCTCACAGTTTAAGGGACCTGGCTCAGGGATTAGGCCCAATGCTAATGAGGTCAAGGTGGAGGGTTTGATTCTAACTGTGGCCGGGAACCAGGAGCCCTGGTTCCCTGGGCCAAGACCAGCCACACACAGCCCTGTGTTGGCGGGGGTGAGCCCCCAATCCTAGACCTCAAAGCCTTGCCTTCACCTCCTCCTAACGCTTGGACAGCCTGGAAGCTTTTAATTTATGTTCTGTTCCCGTGTTTTTTGTCCATCTCACTGGCTGTCATGTGAGCAGGCGGGCGTGGAGGGGGCCTGCCCAGCTCTCAACAGGGTTCCCGGAGCCGAGCATGTCCTCAGCACGTAGCAGAACGCTGTAAATCATTTCCCCATGCACGGGAAAGAGCTGGGATTTCTGTCTGTTTCCTCAGAGTCTGGCACATAGTAGGTGCTTAGTATTTGTGGATCAAGTGAATAGATCTAGGTTATCTCAGTCAGTGCTTCCCTTTCTATGTCTCAGAGTTTAATGACCCTCCCTCACAGGACCAGGGCCATGGGGAATCAAAGGCCTCACAGAGTAACATTGACCTGTATTCTGTGAGGCACGACAAAGAATCTTTTTTTAAACTAAAAATGCTCTTTGTTCAGAGCAATAGGCTCACAGTAAGCAGGAAGTCATTAGAAGTCACCTACTCTGACCCTCCCTGCTACATTTCACAGGTGGAGAGACTGAGGCCCAGGGTCGGCAGTGAGTCAGTAGCCCAGGTCACGTGACAAATCTGGGCTATCACCTGCCTGGCCTTGCCTCCCTCCCCACGCCAAAGACAGCTCTCAGGAAAGATCTGCTGCCATTCACACCATGGTATAAATGACCAAAAAAGGGTTGTGTTGGGCTGATGGGAAAGCCACTAGCCTGAGTCACACAGGCCTGGGGCAGCAGTGGTGGCCCAGAGGGCAGGGGGTGGCACTGGACTCTAGCCTAGGGAGTCCCACTTCCCCTCTCCGGCCTCAGTTTGTTGGAACTAGGAAACCCTGGGGGATCCATGCCCATCTGCTGGGTAAACATGACCTGCTTTTCCACCAAGGCCCAGTCACAGACCTTCCAATCTCACAATTTAGGTGTCATGGTCCCCCTCCATTGGGCATGGTCCCTTTACACTTACCCTTACACCTGGACTAAGACTCTGTAAGCACGTAGCCTGGGCGCAGCCCAGCCCCCTCCCTTCCCTGTGCCTCAGTTTCCTACTCTGTTGCCTGTAAGTGATCAATGACTGCTGCTGACAGTGTTAGCCTCTTAGAGTCTAACTCAGCTTTCGAAGGTCTGGTCTCGGTTTACAAAGCACTCCTTGGAGAGGCCCCCAAGTCTACAAAGCAGGACCCCCACTCCTTCACATTGATTTTCTACTCAGTACGTACCACTATCAGCAACAGTCTTGTTTGCCTCCTGACTCACTGCCCACCTCTCTCCAGAGTGCAGGGCTGGCCTTGCCTGGACTTTGCTGCATCTGAGCTGGCAGCTTGGAGTAGCAACTCAATAAATAGTTGTCAAATGAATGAACAACTCCTGGCCCCTCGTGAGGAGGTCTCACTCCCTACCCTCTGACCACTGAGGAAGTGGCTTCCTCAGCAGAGCCGGAAGTGAACCGGCTGTCTAGCTCCCCAGCCTGAGCTTTCTTCTGCCATGGTAGGTGCTCAGAGAGGGCCTGGGAGCACGCCAAAGGACAAGTCCCAGTGTGGGTGACTTTCGGAGTCACTGGCCCCTCAGTCAGGCTTGGGGATGATGTGTGGAGGTGGGGAGCTGGGGGTGGCTGTCTCTGAAGATGGTGGCACCCACCTCCAGGCTTCCCTGAGCCTGGCCCCCTTGGAGCCCAGGTGCAGGGCTCTGACTTGGCCATGGAGGATTAGGGGCTTAGCAGGTAGCACACAAATAGCTCTTAAGCCCCTGCATAGAGGTGCTGCTGGTTCAGCAGCTTCCTCCTCCTTTTCCTCCTCCTCCTCTTCCCTGCCTCCTCTCCCTGGCTTAGCCCCACCTGGCTGCGTCACCATGGCTGAGTGAGGCCTTAGACTGAGCTGTGAATGTCAAAGGGAAGAAAGGAAGGAGACAGACTCTTCTCCCCTTCCTTCCTCTTCTCCTCCAGTCCCACTTCCTCCCTCCTCCCTCCCCCCACTTCCCTCTTACCCCAACATTTGCCAAACACCGTCTATGTGCCAGGCTCGGGGCTAGGTACTGGGGACACTCAGATGAATCCTATGCACTCCCTGCCCTCAAGGAGCTCCCAGTTTCAGGGGCCAGCTGACAAGGAGAAAACTAATAACCATGAGAGGCAAGGCTCTGCTCCCAGGCCCAGTGCTGTGGGATCCCAGAGGAGCAAGGTGTGGACCAGGAGGGAGGTGGGAGGCCTAGGCAGGGGGACAATTGGGCCAAGGCACAGGGAGCAAAGGGCCACCTGGCCCTGGAGCCTAGGGTGGAGTGGGGCCAGGGAGGACAGGCCTAGGAGTCTGGATGCTAGCTGGCTATCAATGGGGAGGGTTGTAAGCAGGGGAGGGGTATGATCAGATTCCCATTCTAGGAAGATATTCTGGAGTCTGGGTGGAGTACTGGGATAAGTGCTTGACCCAGGTTGAAAGCCCTGCCCGGTGCAGGCCTCTTTGCTAAGGCTCCCAACGGCCCTGAGGCTGGCACAAGTGGAAGGTCACCTGGTATCTGCCATAGCAGATGGGCTATCACTGTACCTGTGCGAGAGCCATGAAGGGCTCCCAGCTTCAGGAGCCTCACTGGGGGTGCATGGCGGACACCCAGCTGGTTAAGGCCAGGCTAGAGCCAGGCCCACCTAAGGCCTGGCCTGGGGCTCTAACTGGGCCACACGATCCCCTTCTATTTCCTCCTTCCAGGGACATGGGTAGTGTTGGGGACTTGGAGGATCAAGTCGCAACCTGAACAACCAAGCTGTGCAGCCTCTAGCAGCCAAGTGTCTCTCCAGGCCTCAGTGTCCTCTTAGTGAAATGGGTATCTCAATCTCTCCACAGCGCTTTCCTTGTGGCATGTGAAGGGTCGTCAGGCTCATCAGATGGAGACTGAGACTCGAGCCTCAAGGTCTGAGCTGGAGTAGGCCCTTTTGCACACATGAGGAAAATGAGCCTTGGAGAGAGAACAGGCCTGATCAAGATCCCATCTAGTCTGGGACAGGGGAGACGCAGAACAGAATGCTTAGGTGTAAAGGTTGTGCCTGGGTATGAATCCTATCTTGGCTCAGTAAGTATTTGTTGAATGAAAGGAGAGAATGTTGCTGAGCCTCAGTTTCATCATCTGCATAATGGGCACCCTTGGAGGCTGTCGAGGATTAAGTAAGATGATGCATGGAAGGTGCTTAGCATGGTGTTTGGTACTCAATGAGCATTTGATTTAAAGGCAGCTACAGTGATTGCTTCTCAGACTCAGACTTCCAGAGCTCAGCTTCCCCATGGCAGCAGAACTTGTCATGGTACACCCTGGTTTTTGTATTATTCGGCTGAGAGGACGCATGCTGTAGTCTCAGGCTGGGCCCCATCCCCCTGCCTCTAGCCACGGACCATCTGATCTGTCACTGTGATTGACGCCTGTTGGGTGGCTGGGACTGTTTTCTCTCTCTCCCCTCTTTTTCCCAGCCATATGCAAATGATTTTAGTTCAAGTAATGCGCTAATGGAAATCCTAACACATTAATAAATGTTTAGCAAGAGAGAGAGCATGCATGATCGTAAGTAATTAGACACTCAACGAAGGAGTTCTGTTGGCACAACTGTCTGGCTCCCTTTCTTTATTTTCCTCCATCATCTCCAAAGAGAAATGCAGAGGGAGGCAGGGGGAAAGGGGTAGGGCAGGGGGCCAGCTTCAGCACTCACCGCTGGGTGGCCTCTGTAGCCGCTCCCTTCTCTAGGCCTCAGTCTTCATGCCTGCAATGGGGACATTTGTCCCGCTCTGCCCACTTCACAGATGAGCTGAAAAGTATCAATACCTAATCACCAGGGCGGGTTTCTTATCCGACAGCCCAGTTCTCTTTCCCCTGCTGTCAGGACTTTGCATAAAGCTCTGGATCATTGACACCCCCGGGGCAGGTAGAGTGGAGGGCAAAGGGAGCAGGGGCCTTAGGGCAGGACAGATCAGGGGCTTCCACCCAGGGCTGGGTGAGCCCTTGGGCCCCAGTACCTCCACCCAACCCTATGGTTGCAGAATGGAAATCCTAACCCTTCCATCACAAGGCTGGTGTGAGAATTGAGATAATCTATGAAACTCGGCTGGTACAGAGAAGGTCCCCAATAAATGTCAGCTCGCCCTCCCCAGCCTCCCATGTGCTACCCACCCTTGCCCTTGAGCTGCTGAATGGGAAACTGTTGATGCTCAGGGGCGGGGACCTTAGCAGAACCTCAAACAGACCCACTGGCTTCAGAAGCTGGAGGGAAGGGGAAAGCCTCGGTGGGGTTAGGGCCTCTGTGGGGCTAGGGGAATGGGGAGAAGGAGGGGAGCCTGGCCCTAGCCAGGAAGCAGAGGGTGGGCTCCAGAACCTCTGAGGAGAGGCCCCCTTGTCATCTTCTTTGGAGCCAGGAACCTTATTTTCTGGTCAAGACGGAGCCCCGCTAAACCAAAATAAATAGATACCCGTTCCCTTACCCAATCCCATATTGCCATTTCGATTAGATTACATTTTAAGAGCAGGCAAACGTAATGTTCCTCTCAGATCAAATTAGAAACAGGTGCACTTTTGCATAAGGAAATTAAGTTGCAGACAATATGAAGATTTGCTAAAATGCAGACACTGATGAAAATAAGTAGCCCTTTTATTTGTAATTATTGAGGCAATCTGTTCGCAAAGTGTACATGTTAATGGTCTGACAGATCTGTGGACTCCAGCAGGCTGCGGCGAACAACTCAGAGCCTCTCTGAAAGTAACACATTTTTTTCCTTAGAAAATATGTACTTTCTCTTCTCCATCTCCTGGTGCTATTTACAAGGCACGAAATGCCATAAATAGGAATTCCGTGGTTACACAAGGCCCCTCCCTAAAATACACACTTGATCTGGGCAGAAGACACATTCTGACAGTTTAACTCTTTCTTCCTTTGACAGCCCAGCCAAGTGCGAGGTGACCCCGGTGGGAGCGGTGGTTCGGAGGGGGCCAGTCATGGGCTGGGGTCGTCGATGCGCCTCCGACAGTAGGGGCAGCAGGTGTGCTGAAGCACCAGCAGCTCGTAGTCCTCCGAGTGGAACATCTGAGGAGAAACAGTCATGACCCGGGGCCACACCCCGAGCCTGGCAGGGACTGCCGCCCTTCCGAGGGGAGGAGGCTTGGCAGTGAGTCAGGGCTAGAACCACCAGATCCAGAACACCTTTGTCTGAGGACTGAAAGGGAGGGGAGAAGGGTCTGGGGTCTGAGGCCCCTTTTTTCTAAATGGAATTCAAAGGTGCATCACACTTGCCCGGCCCTCCCGGATTAGGGGCAGGTACAGAGGGCACAGGGGCAGGGGCAAGCCTGCTCCAGACAGCATTCGGAACATAAGTGAGAGGAGGGAGGGCCTAAGGATGGCCGAGTCTCTTCCCAACTCAGAGCCTTGGCCTTGGGATCCCTTATGCTCCTCCCAGATGCCAGGTGTCCCCAAGAGGACACTTGGGAAATGGACAAGCAGCAGCAAGAAGAAACTGGTGACCACGCATGAGCTGTAGGCACGGTACCTGGAAGCAGGAGGGGCACATGGTGATGGAGGCATCAGGCAGGAGCGAGCGGAAGTACTGCCACTGCAGGGGCGGGGGCCAGCGCTTGATGAGCACGTCCCGTCGGCTCATGGAGCGCAGCACTGAGCGGCTCACCACCACAGGCACAAACTCGGAGCCACCTTGCTGCAAGATGGGCAGGTGGGAAGCAGGGGACAGTGGTGCTTTCACTCAGCCAGGGTGACGTAGTTTATCTGGGTCATGATCCCAGAATCTCTGGGGCAACCAGGGAGGACCCCAGAGACTCCCTCTGCCGTAACCTTCACAGAGCCCTGCCAGGTCACGTAGCTCCTGCTGGCCACCTCTAGTGACGGGATACCCACCACCTCGACTCCACCGCAGTGTGGACAGGGAACAAGTCCGCTTCATGCCAAGGAGTGTGTATAGAAGGGACTTCCAACCCCCCTCCCAACAGGCCTCCCGTGCCTCCACAGCCCATCACTCAGAGAGGCACCCTCACCTCAAAGCTCAGCTTTGCCGTGAATGGGTCATCATCTCCCATGGAGTCCATGGTCTCATCCAGCCTCAGAGTCTGGGAATCTGGAAGGGTCTGGTCAAGGACAGAACCTGAGGCTGAGTGGGAAATAGGCCCCACCCTCCACCCAACACAAGATTCACAGGAGCTCTCTGTGGGCCTAGTGTGTTTCTCCATGACTCTGTGGAACAGAGTTTCTAGATGGAGGAATGGAGGAAATGCAGGCGAGGGAGGAGACAGCCCCCTGGTCACACAGAGGCTGGGACCAGGCCCCAGTGCACAGGAGGGAAAGGGGCTCTGATGGGACCTTTGCTGCCCCACATAGACCACGCCAGGGCCCAGGTAGGCCTGACCAGAAGCACCAAGCGAGCAGAGGCTGTAGGCCTGCTGTGGGTGGGAGTAGAAATAATGGGCCAGCCAAAAACCACGGCCAGCAAACTTGGCAATTCCTGAAGAAACGCTTAGTAATCGCCAGGTTGTCTGTAGGCACTTGAGATGGACTCGCAGGTCCTATTTCATGGAGAAGGGGGTGAGAGCTCCTGCAAATCCTAAGGCCAGCCAGACCAGGCTGAAGGTGCCTAAGGAGCTACCCCCTCTGCCAGGCAGGGGCACAAGAGCTGATGTGAGGCCAGGGTGGGTGGGGCTCCTACAAGGAAGGGCCCCAGGGGAATGGAGGCTGCTGGTGCCCAATCAGGTGCGAGATGTGGTCCCACCAGGCAGCAACAACCCAGCCAAAGCATCTGATTTCTATCTCCCATCTTGGGCAAACAACTCCCTGGCTTTTCCTTTCTCCTCTGCTCCTCAAAATGTAAAATGTGGCCCACGGACCAGTGGCATTGGCATTACCTGGAAGCTTATGGAAAGTCAGGCCCTCAGTCCACCCAGACCTGCTGATCCAGCTGCTGTGTGCTAGCAAGGTCCGCAGGTGCTGAGTGTTCACAGTCACGTGTAGAGGCCCCCCTCCTGTGTCCAGCTGGGACAGTGAACATGAGGGATGAGCTGAGGTGTGGCCTTTGACCCAAGCTGTCCCAGCAAGGATGTGCCCTGGGGTTTTTGCTGTCATGCTGGGAGGAGTGTCAGCCCTTTCCACGGATTTTAAGGCTGACAGGATGCAGGGTTGGTACTGCTGGTGGGACGGGGTGGGTGCCGCCAAAGAAGGAAGCCACCCAAAGGACAGCAGAGCCAACAGGATAGGAGACAGCCTCCCACCAGTGCTGAATGAGCACCTGGATCCAGCTGAGTGTCCATCTATGGCTAGGCTTCTTTACACCCTTTCGTTTGCTCAGCATGATTGTGGTTTCTGTCTCTTGTACATAAACGTGACCTGACTAGAAAAGCTGATACAGACATCATATGCTGTGTTGGTTGCTCATCAGCTGTGTGCGGCCAGAAGCACAGACGGTACCTTTTAGGAGCCAGGTGGGTGGGAGGCCTTCCCGGAAATGAAGCAAAGGTGAATACCAAGGCACCATCTCCTCCTCCATATGCCTCTTCTGGGCCTGTGGTCATGTCCTGTGCCCTCTGGTACCTCTGTGCACTGGCCGGATCTCAGCCCATTCCCAGCCCCTGTCCCTGCCACCATGTGGGCCTCTCCAATCACTCGGCAGTGGCTTACCATGTCCTTGACTCCACTGGACCAGCCATCCCCCAGTGCCCTCCTGCCTCCTGTCTTACACCCAGGCCTTGTGCTTGGCTGGCACACACAGGCCTTTAGCCCAGCATCCAGGATACTGTTGCTTGTGATCTCTTGCCATTTGTTCTCACGCTTGTGTCTTGGTGCCTCCAGGTCAATGAGGGAGACAGCTTCTTCATCACTGATCCCCTCTTCCAGGTAGAATTCAACCAGATGCAGTACCTCTAGAGGGCAAAGGACATGGGGAGGGGCCATGGGATGGCTGCCTCAGGGGGAGCTAGGGCCTGGGATGCTCTCATCAGGCAGCATGAGGGGAGGTGGGAGGATGAGAGTTTCTTTCCCACCCAGCAGCAGGCTCCTCTGTAAGCAAGGACACACAGCAGGGCCACCTCTTTTTGCCCACCACACGTCTGGAGGAAGCAGGCGTGTATGCATGTATATGCATGTGTACGTGTGTGCATGGGTGAGAACCAGTGGCCTTTAGCCCCTCCTTCTTCCCGCTAATAGCTGGATGGGCTCCTCTACAAGGGAGGAGGAACGGCCTCTGCCCAGCTACCTGGAAGGGGCTTCTGATCCTTTGTCAACATAGAAGGAACCAGGACGTAAGAGCCCATGTTAGCCTCCCAGACCAAACACAGTGGCTAAACAGTGGCATCTGGGGCATTTATGTCACGCAAAGCCCCACACCAGGTTCTGAGGGGTGCGTGCTTCAAGTTTGGGCATCATCGGGTCCTATTTCTGGGAACCCTTAGTGACCATGCATCTGGTGGGGTGGGTGTCATGCTGTCCCCAGTTTACAAATGAGGGCAGGTGTGGCCAATCGGCAGCGGAGAGAGCCCAGCCACCCACTGGCCGCTCCCCCCGCACAAGGCAGACTCACCATAGGAAGAGGCAGAGAAGACGAAGGGCTGGCGGCAGTTGACGCAAACATTGCCCAGGTTGTTCAGCAGCGGGTTGTTGGTGGAGCAGCGGTAGCACAAGGGCACCAGCTCCTACAAAAGCACAAGAGCCACAGCTGCCTGAGGGCCAAACCCAGGGCGAGGAAATGCTCCCCACTCTGATTTCAGGCTCCTGGGGCCTGGCTGCCAAGAAGCAAGGCCCCCTGCGTGGGTGGGGAAGGGGCACTGGGCTCAGGGCTCTGTGCTGTGGTGACTCAGGATAAGGGCCTACAGAGGCATCTGAGGCCCTGTCACCTGGGTCCCACTGCCCTGGACACTCCTTCGTAGGTAGGGCTCAGCAGCACATTTCTCCAGCAGGAATGACAACACCACAGCCACCATGTACCGGCCACTTAACATGCACCACGTACTGTTGTGCATGCACCACTGATGTAAGCACATCATCTGGGCTGGCTAGCCATCCTGCGGGAAAGCTATTATGTGTGTCCCCATTTGATAGAGGGAGAAACCGAGGCTCAGAGAGATGGAGACATAGTCAGGAAATGGTGGAGCTGGGATCTGAACCCAGGTCTGTTTGATGCCAAGTCTCTGCTCTGAGCTTGAAGGAGGGGATTGTGAGAGACGACAAGATAAATTGGAAGAAAGAAGGCCGGGGCACAACTGGACTACAGATACATGGAAGAGTGATAGCCTGGTTCCAGAAGGAAGGGGGGCTAAGGCAGGAGCTCCTAGGATGAGGTGAAGGCAGAGCCATCTGGGCATGGAGGAGGAGAGGGAGGTTAAGGGCAGAGTAGCATGGGCTGGGCTGCAGCCAACTCAGAGCCTCACAGAAGGGCTAGGCAGCAAGGGAGGGCAGGGCTCTGGAGCCCACAGGGGCCAGGGACTGTGGCTGGAGCACAGCAGGCTTGAGTAGAGAACAGAGGAGGCAGAGAGGGAAAAGCAGAAGGGCAAACCAGGACTTGGGAAAGGGAGGAGGGCACAGAATCCTGAGAGCATGGTAGCCATCGTTCAAACAGAACCCGGCCAGGAAAGAAGGCATCAGGATACGTCCAGGAAGAGGAGGGGAAGCCTCCTGCCTGAGGGAGCTGTGCGCTCACCTCGCTGTCATGGAAGGGCTTGGAGCGGATGGTCAGGCTGCCCAGCTCAATGGACTTCTGGAACCTGGCGGGGATCTGCAGACCCTGCAGCTTGTCGTAGGCATGCCGGGCCAGCTTGTAGGCACCCAGGGCTTTGCTTTGCTTGGCCAGAGTGAAGAGCGTGTTCCTGCAGATGATAGGGTTAAGGACAGCAGAGGCCACACTGGGCCTCAGAGCTGGCATTGCCTACCCTCGGAGTAAGCCCCACGCTGGAATGCAGCTGCTGCTAGTGCCAGGACATGGGCAGGAGCCTGAGGAGTGCTTTGCTCATTTGTGGGATATAAGTGTACTTCTCGGATATCAAGGCATAGGGATTTTTCCAGAGATAAAGACAGTGCAGTTTCCATGAATATTTTAACCTTGCTTAGGTTCTCTGGGCCTGCTGATGGCTCATCTTGTACCCTAACTAGGCCAAAATGGCTCTCCCCAACTCACCCAGCCTGCCAGCCAGGTCCTAGGGTGTCCAGCACCAAGTGCCATCCTGCTCTAGCCTTGCCAGGTGGGGCTGGTCCCAGACTGCCTGTGGAGCTCCACTCAGATCCAGCTCACAGAGGCCACTGGGTGCAGGGCACTTCTCTCTGCCTGCACTTCACCAGGAGCCACAGTGATTTCTGAGTGTCAGCCTCCCCTGTTCTCTGAGACTCTCCTCTGAGCTCCTCAATCTGAGGTCACAGGCCTTTGCGCTTGATTCCAGGTCACCTTAAATGCTGGCTGCACCCAGGCCAGGCCTGCCCTTCCTCCCCTACCCCACCTGTGAACCCCTTTCCCCACTTCTCCCTGGCAAGCCTCAAGTACCATGCTTCCTTCCCATTCTCCTTCCCCCTAATGCTCTCGCTCCCCACAACCCCAGTGTGGCTCCTTCCACTCCAGAAGTTACATGGCAGTAAGTTTCCATGTCCGTGTCTCCACTGTCACTCTTCAAAGTCAGGGACCATATCAGGAGCCACTTTCAGGTCCCCAGTGAACAGTACAGGGTGCAGCTTAGGGTAGGGATTCAATCAAACTCTGCTGACTCGAACAGAACTTGCTGGAAAGGCTGGGCACAGGTGCTGAGGCTCTGGCAGGTGTGGCCTTGGCCACTCCTCTGCAAAGGTCTCAGTCAATGAAGGTAGCACTTGATTTCCCTGAAATGTAGATGATGGGCCTGGCACCTTTAGAGAAGCCACTTCTCACTGATCAGTACCTCTGAGGCCTCTCCTGGGAGGGTCTTTTCCTTACAGAAAGAAGGCAGGGTTGGGGCTGGGAAGGGGCTGAAAGAATATAAGATTTAGAAGAGGATGGGGAGAATTATGACTTTTATGACCTTAAAAGATTTTGGTCATTTCCTGGTAGTTTTTGACAGCATGGGTCCTCAGCCCCCTTCTCTGCTTACGGCCCCTTAATGGCCCTCACAGGTCCGGAGAAGGTGAGGCCAACTCACATGGAGGCCCTCAGGCCACTACCTCTTCAGCGGGGCTCCCACCTAGGATGGGCTTCAGCTCCTCCCATACACCATGCTTACTTCACCTCCGTGCATTTCCATGTGCTGGGTGCTCCCCTGGAACATCTACTCTACTGTCCTTCCTGATAGCCTTACGGGATAGACGTCAGCTCTTCCAGGCAGCCCTCCCTGACCATGGCCCCAGCCTTAGCTACATTCCACCCCTGGACACAGCACACATCCCACTGAACTAAGCCCTGACACTTGTCACCTCCTCTACTAGATGGCAGCTTTGTCACCCACTGCCTGGCTCACTGTCTAGGGCACAGCAGGTGCTCCATCCCCTCGGCTGAACAAACACCCCACCTCCCCAGGGAAATGCCCGAATCCAAGTGCTTCCTATAGTTCAGTTATGCCCTCATTTATGGGTTCCAGGAGGGCTTGGGCAGTGTACTGGTTAGAGACCCACTGCTGGGCCAAGCCCAGAGAGCCCTGAAAACTAATCTTCTCTTGGCACTGGCCCCTTGGCCTCCCTGGCTGAGCTGCTTCTACAGCAAAACAGTAGCAGCAGGACAAACTCTCTCTTCCCTGAGGGCTATGGGAGAGAGGGGAGGTTCCGCCAGTAAAGTATTCTGGAAAGAACTTCACAGGGGCCATTAGACAAGAGGGCTGGGACAGAGGGTGGGGGTGAAAGGATACACTTTAGAGATGCCCAAGGGGGTGTCTTTGGTCAGGCTGTGCAGCAGGAACCTGGAGATGTTGAAGAGGGTTTCGGGAAGATGGAAACTGAAGGGCTCCTCCTGCAGTGAGAAAAGCAAATAGGGATTGAATTCCGCAACGAAGCAGCTGCTGGACCAGGCCAAAAGGCAGACACCAATAATTCTGAAATACTTCAGGAAAAGAACAGTCTCCCTTAATGAGCATCTACTACGTGCTGGGCGCTTTACGGCTGTCTCATGTGGTCTTTAACATAATCTTGTGAGGATGCATTTTCATCCTCACTGTACTGGTGAGAAAACTGAGCCCCAGAGAGATGACTTGCCCAAGCCACCCAGCTAGAAAAGAGCCGAGTGAGGATTCAAACCCAGGTCTGATTCCAAAGCCCAAGAACGCCTCTCTCCTAGGCTGTGCTGCCTCTTGGGGTTGGTAATGATTCCATTTCCCTGAGCTCAAGTTGTCTCCAATTAGCTCTGAGAGAGAAGACCTTTTATGCAATTTAGGACATGACCAGACCTAAGCACGTCTTTAAATGGAGGCAGTTAACTCTTTAGAGCATGAAATCACGTGCCTCTTCGCAGCTCTCCAGCAGCGGCCTGGCCGTCCGATGCTCACCAAATGTGCACATGCGCTGGAGCTCCTCAGCTGCTCATTCCCGCACCCCCAGCACCTGGCAGGGGCCCCAACAGAGCAGGCACTAACACACATGAACAGGTCTTCTGTATCTAGAGGCTGCCAGAAGCTCCGCACAGTAGACCACAGGGAATTTTCTACCACGAGGGGGGCCATAAAAGGTTAAGAATACCATTTTGAAGGGATCTGGCACATTGTATGCAAATTGACACTACTTTAGATGACAAGATGAAAGCAGGCCAGCTCCCCCCTCCCCCTCGAGCACTTACATGGTGATAAACGGACATTTCCTGGAGGGTCTTACTAGGCTGTACTCGTCACCGTGCCAACAGGACTTAGGCCCTAATTGGTCTAAACTTGTGAGGACTTACTTTATACTACTACTTGGGTTTGGAGCCCAGCATTCTCTCTTTAGCTCTCTTTAACTCTCATTTAAATTTCTACAGCCTCTGTTAGTTCCAAGAACCCAAGAAAACCTGAGACCGCATCCTTTTCTGGATGAGAGCCAGGAAGAAGCCTGCCTCTGGTTATATCGCACTAGGTGTGGAAGCTAAGAACCATCCCAGGAA